CAATCACTTTATTACAATATATATATCGTTGCGTCAGCGAGGTCACGTGACTAGTGTCACGCCACTTCTCTCGAACCTTCGTGAATTGTCGGGAGATTACCAGATATAGGGCAGTCTTATATGGATGGTCACAACGTGACGGTATCAATGTGTGTAGGTAATGAGTAATTGAACTGCAGTCAGAGAGAGACGTATTGTTGAAGTCAAGCTCGTGAGACGTGAATTATAGTTTGTTATAGCGTGATTGTTGAAAGTAAGTGTATCGGTAAAGTTGTATTCGGAAAGAATAAACCGGTTTTATTTAAGAAAGGACTTGTGTCGCTAAAGTTTCGTCGGAACGAATTTACGTAACAAAACTTTAGTTAAACTTAATTATCACGAGCAGGTCGAAGGGGGGGATACCGATACCCCTGAACACCCCAGTTGAGGAAACTTTCTTTCTTTTTAAAACTAAGCACCTGCAACGAATGAAGTAAAAAATTATACGTTTCTGATCCAATCGTGGTGTCTGTCTCACTTCTGAAAAGCTGCGCACACTAGCAAAGATAATCATTCACTTTTGAAATGACGGGAGAACTGGCATGAATAATGTTGATGCCAATTATTATTTCGCAAGCAGGATATTTATACTAAATTGTTAGGAATTACTCAAATTATCATTTACATTTCAAAATACGACATAACTTAAATAATAAAAATGTAGATTTACCGTATGTTATCGTTGAGCGGCTCTTAGCATGACTGAAATGCTCAACACCTACTTTTCGCGGTGGGCAGTTCAAATAGCTCAGAGTTTTGACTCTGAGTGAAACCAAAAGTGCAAATAATAATAATAATAATAATAACCTTTTTAAATTGATAGAATAACTTTTTCCTTCACTGAGGATGGGTACTTTTGCTTATCACAGATAAGTTCGAGCTACAACTAGTATCACAACCTGAACAGCAACAGATACAACACAGGCTAAACAGCCAAGTAAAAAAAAACACAAGGCTCAAAAACAGTCATCTGTAATTAGAACTGATGACCAAAGAATAAACAACTAGTTAACAGTATTCGGGATGATCTTGATCACATGGCGGGATGACCCATAGTTACGGGATAATTTGAGCAGTTAAAAACTGTCTTACTAGGAATGGTGGATTAACACTCGCCTGACGTGTTAAGTATCGAGTTCAAGTCGCATCCAGGAAAATAAAAAAACAGATAAATTACCATACTTATAGCAACCCCAGGCCAGGCGTCACATAGTAGGTAGAGTGCTAAACTGTAAACCGAGGATTCGTGGATCGCGTCCCGTTGCTGTGACAATACACTCGCTTCATTTACCCGGTTATGTTGTACAATGAACTGCATTTAAACAAAAAACACTCCCACAGTAGAAGGTTCGGTGTGTGTTTAGAGCTTTATTGTAGGCCAAGCTTAGGTCTTTTTAGTACGCAGCTTGGCACATTAATAATCAACTGATCAAGCCAGGCCCTCAAATTGAAAATATAAAACGTTCCAAAGAAGAACGCCAGTCATGATTTATTTTACAATAATAAAAAAAGAACCACGTGATTTCTCCACTAAATTATACATATATTCAACATTATGCCAAATTTAGAATAGTATAACAGGTGAACTTCCCCAACACTTTGGTTTGCCCCTTGTGGCGATTTCGGAAAACAATTACAAATTCCCATAATGTAAATAGGCATTCTAAAGTGTATCTAATGAAAAAATGAAGTCGAACGATGGAAGAAATTACTACAACATTTTCAATTCGTCAAACTACTCTTTTATTGACAAGATCCTGTGTAAGCCTCGTACAAAGAAGAAATTGGTAATTAAACATATTTTATTGATAATTGAGAAGTCCATTATTATCTCATAAAATAGTACGATTTATTTTGTTTCATTTATTGAGATATTCTTTAACTACCAATATATATATATATTATAATGTCAATATCTTCCCACAGAGGACAGCCTAGTAACCAACAGTTACAATCGGAACATCGCGTAGTCTATTCCGATGGAATAGTTACTTCATGTATCTTTTGTAAGGCCTTATATATTTTGGAGTTCTAGCATTATGGTAATAATGGGAACGTGATTTATAATGGATACATAAAACAGTGGATAACCGTCAGGTTTTACCGCATCTAAAGGTTTTCTTTCTTGCATGAAAAACAATGGTTTCCGTTTTCCTCTCTCACTTTGAAATCAAAAGCCGATGGAAAAAAATGGAAACTAACCAATATGATTATATTCATCGATTTCTTTACTGCTATAACATATGTACGTGTTCACAAGGCAAAGATGAATTATTCTCATGACAGAAAGGATACAAAAATCCAGCTAGTACTCTATATCAAACCAAACTGTTGATTAGTTTACCTGTTTTTAAATATAACGAAAGATTATTAAAACTGTTCTTTCAGGCATGGAGCTACTGAGAGTTGCTGTAACAATTTTTTCCATCATGAAATTAAAATGGAGCTTGATGTTGAACAATAAAATATTATTTTTTGGCATCTAACTACCACAATAAAGTTTCAAAATTAGCTAACAATATACAACTATATATCTAAACAATGTCAAAAGATCTTTACTTTTCAACTAAACTGACAAAATACAATTAAATATACATTGGCTTTTTTTTACTCTTCTCAGTTAATTTAAGAACTGTTACAAATAAAGAAAAAATAATTTAGAGAAATTAGTCTGTTTTTAAAAAACATCATAGAACACTGTAATTAGGGTGAAAAATATAAACTAATGTCACAAAATTTTGCACGAACAAGGTTTTCTCAATACATTAAGAACCATGAGGGTGAATAAAATGTTTCGAGTTCACTTTTCTAGCCTTTAATAGGTATACATAGAGTCTGTATTAATTCAAACAGTTTTTCTAAAATCACACCTTTTTGTTTTTTTATAAATAAAAGACATATTGATTTAGGTCTACCAAAAGACTCACTGTCATGTCAAGGCCATTGATCAAATACCCAAGACAGAATAGGCTCTGTTATTAATTTGTACTCTCAAAAAAAAAACAATTTGTACAAGACCTGGGGTTAAGATATAAAGTGTACCTCTTTATATTACCAATATGATTACTATGAAAGTTTATGCAACAAGATACATGAATTCAATACTATATTGGCCCTCATAACAATTTTGAAAACATTTTGATTTCTGTCTGTGCAACCACATTTTGTATCTGCTAACAAACATGAGAAATGTAGTTTTGTGAAAAGTGCCATTTAATGTTTTTAAAAGAGAAAAAAACATTAATAAATGTGGTTGAGAGAAAACAGCTGAATTTAAAATTTATAAAGCATATTTTTTTTACTGTTAGTCTACAATCTAAAAGGATCCAAAAGTTAACAATCAGCACAGGTATTTGATTTTATAAAATATTTAAGACGACGACTAGTACAACACATTCATACTCATACAAAGAAACACACCAGTATAAAAAAGTCATACACAATGTTTGAAGCTCCCCAAATGAATTAATTTTCATAATTTTGCATGACTACTAATGTTTCAGTGTAAAAGATATGCTGACTGATTACTTATATGGTTTACCTTTAAACATACATCATCTTATACCTAAAAAAATATTCATTATTGTGAGGTGAAAATATAAATTACCACTGAACAATGCAATTCTACTTAATGAGATATTGTTCACACTACACTTCAAGCAACAAGTGGATCCAGGGTTTACTTGTGTGATTACCACACTAAAGTTCTAATTAAAAATGAATCATAGGTCGTGAAGGAAGACTCAAGATTCAGTTACAGAATATCTGTATTTTATTATGTAATATTTATGTACCAGGTAACAGTAATCTGTACTTATTATGTAATTTTTATGTAACAGTAATCTGTACTTGATTATATAATATTTATGTACCAGGTAACAGTAATCTGTACTTTATTATGTAATTTTTATGTAACAGTAATCTGTACTTTATTATATAATATTTATGTACCAGGTAACAGTAATCTGTACCTTATTATGTAATTTTTATGTAACAGTAATCTGTACTTTATTATATAATATTTATGTACCAGGTAACAGCAATCTGTACCTTATTATGTAATTTTTATGTAACAGTAATCTGTACTTTATTATATAATATTTATGTACCAGTTAACAGTAACCAGTACTTTACCATGCCAGGTTTATGTATCAGGTAACAGTAATCAGCACTTTACCATGTCAGATTTATGTATCAGGTAACAGTAACCAGTACTTTACCATGTGAGATTTATGTATCAGGTAACAGTAGTCAGTGATTTACCATGTCAGATTTGTGTATCAAGTAACAGTAACTAGTACTTTACCATGTTAGATTTATGTATCAGGTAACAGTAAATCAATTTTTTACCATGCCAGATTTATGCATCAGGTAACAATAAATCAGTGATTTACCATGTGAGATTTATGTATCATGTAACTGTAATCAGTACTTTACCATGTCAGATTTGTGTATCAGGTAACAGTAACTAGAACTTTACCATGTCAGATTTGTGTATTAGGTAACAGTAACCAGAACTTTACCATGTCATATTTGTGTATCAGGTAACAGTAATTAAAACTTTAGCATGTCAGATTTATTTATCAGGTAACAGTAATCCATACTTTACCATGACAGATTCATGTTTGGGTAAGATTAACCAGTACTTTTTAATGCCAGATTTATGTTTGGGTAAGATTAACCAGTACTTTTTAATGCCAGATTTATGCCTGGGTAAGATTAACCAGTACTTTTCAATGCCTGGGTAAGATTAACCAGTACTTTTCAATGCCTGGGTAATATTAACCAGTACTTTTTAATGCCAGATTTATGTTTGGGTAAGATTAACCAGTACTTTTCAATGCCTGGGTAAGATTAACCAGTACTTTTTAATGCCAGATTTATGTTTGGGTAAGATTAACCAGTACTTTTCAATACCTGGGTAAGATTAACCAGTACTTTTTAATGCCAGATTTATGTTTGGGTAAGATTAACCAGTACTTTTCAATGCCTGGGTAAGATTAACCAGTACTTTTTAATGCCAGATTTATGTTTTGGTAAAATTAACCAGTACTTAATACCATAACAGATTGGTCATATTATGACAGTTAATTCACTACACAATAGTTATTAATAAAACCATACTTTTGTTAGTATAGAATATTTGTAGGTATAGATAGACAGATAAATAAGTGAGATTACACAGATTGTGACAAATGTCAAAGCAGATAAATGGTTATCAACTTAAGATGGATAAAATAACTGGATTTTTATCCTGGAATATTTGAAAACTTTTTCAATATCCAAAATGTTCTAGTTCTTTACCCATTTATTATTTCATATTAAAAAACTTTTCATCAGCTCACTAATATTCTAGGGGTCATTGACGTTTGCTTTCTAAGGTTATTAAAAATAAAAGATAGTTGGAACATTTTTATAAAGTTAACTCACCATCTAGAAGTCAGTGAAAAGTCCATTTCAAATATACTTTAATGGATAATGAAAAGGATACCAATTGACATTCCATGCATATAAATTAATACACTGCTATTTTTTTTATAGAAAAATATGTAACTACTTATAATTTGTACTAAAAACCACATAACACTAAAAAATAATCAATATTAAGTAGAATAAAATAGTTGCAAAAAAAAACAACTAGCAGTAATTTCAGTCCAGCAATCTTTTCCAATTAATGATTGAAAAAATACCTGGTGTAATTTGTCATCAGAAAAAAAAACAAACAGCGCAAGATGAAAAATTCACTAAGGTTGAATTTCCAGAAATCCATTTACGTATTAAATCATTGCTAAACACATCGCGTTTAAAAAAAAAATTACCACAACATTTAATGAAAAACTTCTATGACTTCAATGTGATATATCAAAAGCATTACTTGCTAATACAACACTCTCTCTTTACTTTTTAATATAAAATTTCCAATATTTTAAAGAAGAAAAATGATGTAGTCATACAATATCAATGGTCATATTTGAGTTGGCAAGTGTTGTAGATTGTGTCATATAAATTAAAACAATTTTAATTTGTACAAGTTTGGTGCCCTTAAGTTTGATATCATTGATTTTATCTAAAAAAGTTTTTGTTTTTATCCAAATATGTTAAAATTTTACCAAAAAAACATTGTAAAAATACAGTACTTTCTGTCCCACAACTACCAAAACTCTTTGCAATAAAAATATTAATAAATAAATCTATTTTTTTTACTATCATATGTTTCTTCTAATAAGGCATGAATTCATACATAAATTTGTGTTACACTTCAAACTTAAAATAAGTTTCTACTTTCCAGTTATAAAATGTTTAATGGTAACAAAAGATGTTCAAAAAATCTAATTGAAATTCTATATTTTTAACCATTACAAAAGATATTTGTAACTAGGCTTAATAAATGTCAATGAATAAAACTAAATACTATTAATTTATAGATTTTATACCAAACTATTTATTAGATCATAAATTGTTTCTAATTGATACAGTAAAGAAATCCCATTTCATGAAACTTAACTTTCTCTATTTAATAATATCATCATTTATTCTATTCAAAACAATCGGTACAACAAACAATTAAAACTAAAATTAAACAATTCCAGATGAAAAATAACAGAAGAATTGTGTATATGTGACAAAAGTAAGTAAACTCCAATGCCACAATGTGATGACCTATGATACTGACCAGAATATACATTAACCTGACCACTCCTTTGAAATAAATCTACTGAGGAACTTGTCATTTTTCAGAAGACAATAAAAACATTTTTAGATGAATTGGTTCATTTAACATCCTCAACAGGTACACACAACACCTGTTTCATTGGTGTCAAGGGATATTACTGGTTTATTTAACATCTTCAAGGGGTAACACCTGTTTCATTGGTGTCAAGGGATATTACTGGTTTGTTTAACATCTTCAAGGGGTAACACCTGTTTCATTGGTGTCAAGGGATATTACTGGTTTGTTTAACATCTTCAAGGGGTAACACCTGTTTCATTGGTGTCAAGGGATATTACTGGTTTACTTAACATCTTCAAGGGGTACCAACACCTGTTTCTTTGGTGTCAAGGGATATTACCAGTTTATCTAACATTATTAAGGGGTAATAACACCTATTTCATTGGTGTCAAGGATATTACTGGTTTATTTAACATCTTCAAGGGGTAACACCTGTTTCATTGGTGTCAAGGGATATTACTGATTTGTTTAACATCCTTGAGTTGTATCAAGGGTTTGTTTGTTTTTTAATTATGCACAAAGCTACACAAGGGCTATCTGTGCTCTGCCCACCAAGGGTATCGAAACCCGGTTTCTAGCGTTGTAAGTCCGCAGACATACCGCTGTGCCACTGGGGGGCATGTATCAAGGGATATTACTGGTTTATTTGATGTCCTCAAGGGGTATCAACATCGTTCACACTTATGTTTTGAAACTGCATGATGTAAATCCATAACGTTCTGAAAAATATGAATGATAGCATACAATGTTGTATAGTAATGTTTGCAACATTTATTTGGTGTCATTTGCAAACAACAAGAAAAAAATATGTTGAAACTTATATTGTTATGTAGTTCTGAGAAGTATCATCAATAAACAACAAACTAATCAATTTGTTTAGAAATTTTTGCTAATCCAAAGTATAAGTTTATATTTGCTAAGAAACTATCATCCTTGAGAATATAACTATCCATGTCTTGTTTCTCACATGATTTTATTCCTACAGGCTTCTTCCCACCTTTTTTTTTATGATGTCAGAACATGTGGTTTGAACAATTACAAATGAAGCCAACTTTAAAAGTAGTTAAAGGTAACACTTGAGGAGATCATAAACTATTTACATCAATGCAGAGTAAATAAAGTAGATTGGGCAGTAAATTATGGTTTTGTAGGAGAGTGACTAGATGGAGCTTCTCAGAGGAGAATAAATGAATCTAATGGGATCATTAGAAAACTTAGGAGCAAACCACAGATCTACGATTTTTTTTAGTTTCTTGAGGCATTATTCCTAAAAAGTTTTTCATGTTAAATTATATTTGTTTGAAAGCTGTGAACATTTTCTTCTGTGACAAGACATCAGGTAAGTTTAATTAGGTTCATCAAGTACTGAGCATATGAAACAAACTATACAAAAATAAATTCAATGTCTGCAGATAATACCAACAGCTGTTTAAAGAGGACCCTAGCAGTTGATTTAGTATCTACAAAAGGTACAACAGCTGATTAAGAAGGATAGTAGCAATTGATTTAGTGTCTACATAAGATACAACAGCTGTTTAAAGAGGACCCTACTAGATGATTTAGTGTTTACAGAAGATACAACTACTGTTTAAAAAGGATCCTAGCAGTTGATTTAGTATCTACAGAAGATACAACAGCTGTTTAAAAATTACCCTAGCAGTTGATATAGTGTTTACAGAAGATACAACTACTGTTTAAAAAGGATCCTAGCAATTGATTTAGTGTCTACATAAGGTACAACAGCTGTTTAAAAATTACCCTAGCAGTTGATTTAGTGTTTACAGAAGATACAACTACTGTTTAAAAAGGATCCTAGCAATTGATTTAGTGTCTACATAAGGTACAACAGCTGTTTAAAAATTACCCTAGCAGTTGATTTAGTGTTTACAGAAGATACAACTACTGGTTTAAAAAGGATCCTAGCAATTGATTTAGTGTCTACATAAGGACTAAATCAATTGCTAGGATCCTTTTTAAACAGTAGTTGTATCTTCTGTAAACACTAAATCAACTGCTAGGGTAATTTTTAAACAGCTGTTGTAGTCTACATAAGGTACAACAGCTGTTTAAAAAGGACCCTACTAGATGATTTAGTGTCTACAGAAGGTACAACAGCTATTGTTAGAAAGGACCCTATCAGTTGATTTACTGTCTACAGAGGGTACAACATCTGTTTAAAAAGGACCCTAGCAGTTGATTTACCATCTACAGAAGGTACCAACAACTGTTTAAAAAGGACCCTAGAAGTTGATTTAGTGTCTGCAGAATATACCAATACATGTTGAAAAATGTTATTAGTGATTGATTCAATGTTTGAACAATATAAATATTTATCTCAGTGCTGACAAATGGTCCTATTTTCCACTAAATATCTTCAATAGGTGCAAACAGTTTATTATGCACTGTAAATGTCAGATTAATTGTTCCAATATGATACTAATAGCTCTTTTTGAGGATATAACTTGTTGGTTTAATTTCCTCAGCAGCAAGCAATAACAGTCTTCAAAATTTCACAGAATATTTTAAGCTGCATAATCACACGTTTGACATACTTCTTTTTCTAGGATGAAATCATCTATTAAACTTTGTAGCTACAGAATGTGCACAAATATTAAGCAGCTGATATAAAAAGTTAAACTTTTCTTTTTTAGATGTTAGAAAGTTTATGTAAATGCTATGCATGAAAAACCATAACAAGTTGGATTGTAAGTTATAAAATATTACAAAACTCTGAATAATAATAAGTAAACCTAACTTTAATATATGAATATTATTAATTCTATACATGAAATATAAATGCAATTTTCGATCTAAAACATACGGTGTCAACCAATACGGCCTATAACACCCTTTTAAGGTTCTTTGGTTAGTAACCCATTCAAGTAGTTGTTGAACAACCAAGTGATCCATGTGTAGAGTACAAAGTTCTTCAATGAATCAATCAAATGAACAAATTACACAAACATAATTATAATGACAGAGTAAGATAACTAAATAATCAATGGATTGTTTCACCACTTTACCAACTACAAGTATTTGAAGGTGACATGAATATTTAAAGAGAAGCACTGTACAAATTAATTTTTCTTTTCAGTACTTATACAAAACAGATACACAAATATTGACACTTGACAAGACTATATGTAGAACAGAGAGCTATGTAATCTGGAGGAAGTTGTCAGTGTGTTGCCTTGTAATGTTAGCCAACTTTTAGTAGACCACCACACTTTGGGATGAAGCTTTCTTTTGTGGAACATATTGATTTTTTTTCTATAAAACGAATCAAACTGTAGCACTATGACATGAAAGATCACGCACACATAACAAAGATGTGAATACCCTCTTCATTTAGGGATATCCTGCAAAAATAAAACATACCAATCAACACCCTTTTTTGCACTGAACAGCATTAATGTTATATATTAAAATACACTGCAAACACAGGGATACTGTATATAACTTGTAATTTTCCAACACTGAAAATATATTTCTGATAGGGACTTCCCTCCACTAACAAGATTTGCTATTCTCATTTATTGCTATATGCAAACTTTTATTATGCATGCCACTAGCCTTATGCATCTTCCTATTGGAATCAGATGATTTCATCGTGTCTCTCATGCAAATCATCGTGCATCACCTATCCACCAATATGAACATAGTACACTCACGTGACACATGTGACTCTCTCTATGCTCCTCTACTGAACTATCACTTTGAAGTTAGGCAGATGACTGAAGCACCAGAAGTGAGTGTGGAGGAAGGGTGGGAAGCATGAGAACAGGGAAGTACCTATCGGAAATACATTTTCAGTATAGGAATATTATAACTTCCCTCTTCTCATACGATTAGCTAGAACCATACATTGATAAGAAAGAGGGACCGGTGCGAAGAAAGAACAGACGTAATCCCCTAAACTGTCTGAAGGATACCCCTGTAGATGAGAGAGTCAGATCCAAAGATCTGGAGAGGGGAACTGCCCACTTCTGTCAAGTTGAGTAATGTGTAAAAATCAGGGTGGAAAATGAGAGTAGCACATCCTCATGGGAGAGAAAGTGGTAGGAAAGTGATCCTAACTAGAGAAAGATATAGTAACTCAATCCCACAATAGGAAAGTGGGTAAATGAGGATGCATCCCATGGTGTAGAGTGGCAAACCATATACTCCAAGTTAACTAAATGTGTGTACCTCCTCACGGGGTACACACATCCACAAGGGAAAGAGGAAGATTCTGCTGAAGGGAGTGCACGTGTGCATGACTGAGGGGGATTAGTGGTGTCATAGAAGACCACATCCAGAAAAGTGACAGAACTTCGTATGCAGTAAGTGAGGGAGCAGACAGGGCATGGCAAACTGACAATTCCATAGAACGAAGTCTGAGAGGAAAAGGTTGGGCCCCATTGAGGTGAGTGTTGAAAAAGACACCTAAATGTACAGTGTATTGGGTAGGACTTCACCAATATTCACTGGGATTTTACTCCAGTCTGTTTGTTGTTCCCAAAAAGACTGAGGACTGGAGGCCTGTCATCGATCTGTTCAACCTCAATCACATTGTTCACCTCCTATGTTTCACCATGGAGCCCTATCTCAATTATTAGTGGGATTTTTCTCCAGGTTTATGGATGACCAACATGGATGTCTCCAATGTGTGTCTGTAAATTCCATCTAGGGGTGGTATACCAATTTTGCACCCTACCCTTCAGGCTGGCTTCAGCTCCGTACGTTTCTGGTCAATTGGTATGAGCTTTTGTTCTTCATCTTCATGCCCTGGGGCTGCATTTCCATTTTTACATTGATGACTGGCTAATTCTGGCCCACTCCAGTCGGCCTGTCATACTCGTCAGCTCCTTCTCGAAGCTGCCTAGGTAGGCTAATTGAATCCGGATGTGGAACAGGTTCTATAGCCTGTTGGGTGAGGAGGTCCTGTATCACCTCTGATAGATGCTGGCAAGTTACTGGATTCCAAGTAGAAGGGACAAAGGAGGTGGGGCAAGAAATTTTGAATCCCTCTAACAAAACCTGAAGAACCCAAACATCCAAG